CATCTGTTTTCATCCGTGTCACTGTATCAATACATTGTCTAATGTTCCAAAACCCTGAGAAATTCTACTGAAGAGGTTAGACCAGAAGTTTTCAGTTTTATGATCTATTTCTATGTAAGTGTAGAAGGATTTATAGGAAAAAAAAAAATCTATAGAAATAGTTCCTCTAGGAGGACCTATGGGAAGTCTGTGCACTTGAATTTACAAGAAGGTTTTGTGTTATTATTGTTAGTGTTTGCTCGTTTGTTTTTCAGCTACTACTTTCAGATTGCCTCAGACTCTTGAGATAACCTGCTGCCTGTGCATTTCAACTCAGTGTCCCCAGTATGCGAATTAGTAGTCCACCATTAATGTTAACCGTAATGTTATTAGGGCATCATCTAATGAGAAATGCACAGTGCGGGTTTGCATTAGCAGAACTGGTAGAAAATTCTCACTTATTTCCTCAATAAATAGTTAACATTCAGAGATGTGGGGTGTTCACTTTATTTCCTGGCCGCTATGATATGAGTCATAAAATGCTACAATTATCCCATATCACATGTGAAGACAAACTCTGTCTTGGCTCTGGTGGGCATTATTGTGTATTAGGTTAAATGTAGTCACAGAGTACCAGGTAAAAGGTACGCATAAAGAAAGTATGTTCCTAACTATCTGAGATGGACACCCTAGAAAAATAATTATTTTTTTCTTCCAAGACGTCAGTGAATGAGTATGCCTTAGACTTCAGTGGATTTATGATCAGCCAGTAACTTCTTGTTTTAAAAAGACTCTCATTTTGATTTGGGTCTAGCCTGGGTCCACTACATGGAGTCTATTTTGCCATGGAGGCTGTTGCCAAATTATATATGGCACTTCTGCCTCAGCACAAGGAAATCACACTAACCTCTTCCAGGCCCTCAAAATATCAATGTGAAGAGTTCACCTTCTTACATATGTCTAATCTTCCTGCAGCTGCTTCTCTCAGACTGGCAGATATCATTTTGCATCCCTCAGTGAAAATCCTGTAAAGCTTATATTGAGCTGGTTTCCAGCTGTGTTTGTTTAGGGAGGAATATTTCCTTTTGCTTGCAGCACGGGCAGCTATTTGGGATTCTTGTCAGTTTTCTTTTGATGCAGCTTCCTTGTATACACTTCTTCTGTAAGTGCTTTCCACATTCATGGTCTTTTTATCTTAAGATGCTTTTTAGCATGTCTCAGAGAGGAGTTTTATAAATGAGTATCTGAACTACCGAAATTAGTATCTGAACTACCAAACTTTTTTTTCAGCCAAAACTGTACTCATTAGCTTTTTCAATGAAGCAAAAATTTCTGTAAAAAAATTGAAAAATATTTGCTTTTTAAAATGCAAATTCCTTGTTTCTCAAAAATTCTTCTGTAATTTATTTTAGTATTTTAAAAAGTGCCTTTCTTTTCTTTAATATATAGTCATAGAATCATAGAATCACCTAGATTGGAAAAGACCTTTAAGATCATCAAGTCCAATCATTAATCTAACACTGACAAGTCCTCAGCTAAACCATATCCCTAACCACTATGTCTACACTACTCTTAACTGAAATATAATAAAAAAAATCATAACTGGTTTACGTGTAATAGATGTTTCATTTGGAATCAAAAGAGACATTGATCTGAATCCAAAATTTCGGTTTCAGTGCACTAAAATGTAAATGTCTTAAAATCACAGTTATGTTAGATCAACAGAAATAATGTTTCCGATTTTGTTTAAAACAGTTATCCAGAGTTGAATGAGTTTGAGTGTCTGGGACCTTTTCTGATAACCACCCTGTCCACACATGTACTTTATGTCATATAATTTGTGGACTCTTATCTGGAATTAATGTAAAAACTTGTGACAATTTAATATTCTATTACACTGCTGCTGTATGTATTGCATCCTCCTTATTTAAGGACATATTTCTACCTTGGACTCTGTCATTAATTGCCTATAGTGAATGGCTAGGTAGGTCACCAGAGTGTATAATAATGCTTATAAGAAATTATACACCCCTGGGAATCCTGCTTAATATTACAAACGTATCTCTGCTATATTCTTCTTCCCTCACTTTTGGTTGTTTGAGATATTTCCATTTTGCCTTAAAATAGGTTGTAACCTTTTCCAAACACAGCCTTTTGTCTTCTGGCATCTGCAATCTAGAATAACGGGTCACTCGTCCTTGGATGGGACTTCTTGGTAGTACTGCAGTATAATTATTGTCATATAGGTTTTAATATGGTGTACTAAATATAAGTTTGAAATAATGAAATAAAATAATAGCATTCAGAGGTGCAACTCATTATTTTTAGCAGTAAAACAGCTGCACGGTATTTCTGCAGGAAAAATGAGCAATTACTTTCACTGCTTATATATGCTGCAACTTGTTCCATTTGGATTAATTACTTTTTAAACCCTGATAGGTTCATCAGCTACAGGCTGCTTACTTTTGCAATATGTTGTAGCCCTTTTTCTTGCCCCTAAGTTGCTGGCCCTGTAGCAGACTTCTTGTGCCGTCCCCAGCCCCACTCCATAGCCTGAACTCACCTAGGAGGACAAAAAGGAGAAGGAGTAGGCTGTAGTGTCACCCAGAAAATACACAACAGCAGCCTTTCCCAGGTAGAATAGCCTGAACCTTGGCTGAATCTGGATCCTAACCCACATTTCAGTGTGGGCTAGGATAACTAAATACATAAGCCTTACACCTTCCACATATACAGCAGCCCTTTAAAGTTTTTTAAGAGCTGGACTAGATGATGGGCAGCAGATGAACTACTGTTCCCAAGCCACTGTGAAAATTTGGGTACATTCATGATGGCCTCCTTTTATGCTCTCAGAGAGCATAAGGGTAGGCAGTTTCTGGCTGGAATTGAGCATAACATTTGGGGGACAAAAAAAAGAAAAATAAGTTTAAATTGTGGGAGATTTGGTAGCAGTAAGAGAATACAAATGACAGTGAGACTTTTTACCAAGGCCTGTAATGACAAGGACAAGGGGTAAGGATTTTAAACTGAAAGAGGTTAGGTTTAGATTGGACGTAAGGAAGTCGGTTTTTACGATGAGGGTGGTGAGACTCTGGCACAAGTTTCCCAGAGAAGTTGTGGATGTCCCATCATTGGAAATGTTCAAGGCCAGGTTGGATGGGGCTCTGAGCAACCCAATCTAGTTAAAGATGTCCCTGCCTGTAGCAGGGTGGTTGGACTAGGTGATCTTCAGAGGACTCTTCCAGCCCAAATGATTTAATTTTAATTTAAATTTCTGTTAGACTAAGATTTTTATTTGACTGACTTTTTTTTTCTTTTTTCTTTGTTTTATCATGGCTTGTTGGCTCTTATAAAAAAAATAAAAATGGATTTTATCCTCTTATTTGCCCATTGGACTCATTGCAATTTCTTGAGGGTAAATTTTGTCATGGAAGGATGATTACATGCTTTTCAGAACGATTTAATTTGATGTAACAATACTGTAACTGTTGCTAAATCTTCCAGAGAAATTCTGTAGAATATCCAAATTAAGTGCAATAACCAATCCATGTCTGTGTTTGAATAGTAGCTGACTGTACTTTATTTTCAAGAATGCATTTGTACTATTTTAAAATTAGTAAAAATTATCTGAGGAAAAGGTAGATTTGTCCTGCCAAAAATAAAACATTTTTATTGGTGATGAAATGTTATGACATTCTTTCCAAGAGCTGATACAATTTCACAAACGTGTTGAATTGTGTTGTCATGGGGAACAGGGGACTCTTTAACTACGGAAGGTCTAGTCAAGAGAGACCTAACATTAAATGGAGTTAATATACAATTTCCTATAACTTGGAGTTTAATCATTTCGCTGTTGTAGATGGGCAAGAAAGAATTCTGTGATACCAAGCCTGAAATCATTTAATCGGGAATGTAAATCAGTTATGTGCTTCAGTTACCAAATGTTGATAGAATTGGCTATGGTAGATTGTTGTTTTTTAATTACAGCTGCTCTGTAATGTTGTTGTCTTACCAGGTTCCAAGAAGGAAAATAGTATAGTATGGCAGTTTGATGACCACTGCTACTGCCAAGTATAAACACTACTAGGAGTGAGTTCTTCCATAGGATGATAAACCACATTCCTAAAGTAATGAATGCCACTCTTCCCTATATGTATTTATGTTCAGATAATTTATTTAAATAATGTTCCCAGTACATGCTTTATAGCCTTCTGCCTTTTGCTACACAAATTTTAGCTTATATTGCAGACTGTGCAAGTCATTTGGCAAATGTAATTTCCATCCCTGCATACTAATCGATTTCTTCACAAACACCTGCTATCAGTTATGATAATAAAAATGCCATTCTAAATTGAAAAGGGGCCAAATGGAGCTTCCTAAGGAAATGACTTAAGTGTCTTTCAATGCCTTTAATGTAGTAATGTTCTTGTAGTGGCAATGCTTTTTTTGAGCATTTGCATTTTATATAATTTTACTCTATTACATCGTTTTTCCGTCTAAATGGTTCCTCATAACCATTGCTACGAAGTAGCTCATAGTGAGATTGGAGAGGAATTTCTTTGTTTCCTCTCTCATGGGACTAAATCCAGCAACTTTATGTAGTCAAAATTCCTTAGCACAGATCTGACTGGAACATCTGGCTGCTACACTAGTATAAACACTAAACAGCTCCATCAGTTCCTATAACATCACTGGGAAAATGTAAAGTTGGTGGGTGCTTTGCCCTTGGACTGCATTCCAGTTTCTTCCTAAAATATAAGCCTAAATTTAGCAGACAGATTGCAAGTAGCATTTGAATTATCCAGGGTGGCTTTACGGCTCCTTCCATCCCAGGAAATAACTTCCAAGCAACAGTCTTTGCCAGAACCTAATCATTTTCAGCTCTGCTGGGTCTTGTCTCAGCTCTGAAATGTCTCACTGGCACCCAGCTGTATTGTCATGTCCCCTGACAATGTCCTCTGCGTTACTTGTAAGGAAACAATCCGTTTTACTGATTTCTTCACATTTTCATTTTCTCTTAGCTCTAGCCGCCCAAGCGTATGCGCTAAAGGAAGAGAACGATAGTCTTCGATGGCAGCTGGATGCTTATAGGAATGAAGTGGAGCTCCTGAAACAGGAGAAAGGACAGCTCTTTCGAACAGAAGAAAGCCTTACAAAGGACCAGCAGCTGCAGTTCCTGCAGCAGACAATGCAAGGCATGCAGCAGGTATTGCTATGGAAGAAAAGCACGGGTCTTCTCTTTTAGGAAAGTGGTACCATGAAGCTGTGCTGGGCTCCAGACTATTAGCTGTGAAGGGCCTGGTTTCTTTTCAGTCAAACTCTTCCAGATTTTACAGGAGGAGAAAGAGTTGGGGAGGAATTGGGGACATATTTAGGGGTAGTCAATTTAGGAATTCGTAATCTGTAAACCCCTCGATCATTCAAGGAAACTCCTTATGCATGTCCTGTTTAGAAGGAAATTACTTTGGTACATCCCTTACTGCTCTCCTCACTCAATCCATTTGGCCCTAATTCTGCACAGAAGTTCAGGAAAGTTTGTACAGTGTAGCACAGCCAGTGCTCTGTGGTGCCTTCATTTGCATTCTTCTGCATCTTCGGATGCATCTCCACTTCTCGGCTTT